CTGTGTGTCTCTGTGCTGCATCCTCACATTTCTTTTTAAATCCACAGCTAAAGTCTAAATCTAAGAAAACAAAAACTAATTATTGAAACTAAAAGTCTAAAAAACTAAAACTAAAAAAACTAGTTCAAACAACATAACAGCCAAAATGATCAAAAGCAGCAGCTAAATCTAAAATTGGCAAAACACTAGCTAAAAGATAAAACCAGAAAACCAGCAACCAAAAGCTAAAATTAAAAACTAGTAGCTAAAATAGCAAAAGTTTAAATTAGCAGAACATTATTTTAAAAATAAAATGATCAAAAACAGCAGCTAAAAGTGTCTGCAGCAGACTAAAGTCCAGGTATTAAAGGCTGAATGTGTGTCTGTTAGCAAAATATCTCATGAATCATTAATTCATCTACAGCTCAGCTTCATCCTAGATGGATCAAACTTTATTTAACACTTGATTTTAAGGGCTTAAACCTAAACCTAACCTAAACTAAACCTAACCTAAACTAAACCTTACCTAAACCTAAACCTAACCTAAACCTAACCTAAACTAAACCTAACCTAAACTAAACCTAACCTAACACTAAACTTAACCAAACCTAACCTAAACTAAACCTAAAATAAACCTAACCTAACACAAAATTAAACTAAACTAACCTAAAACTAAACCAAACTAAACCCAAACTTAAACTAAACCTAAACTTAAACTAAACTAAACTAAACTCCATCATTTCGACACACGTCTTTAAGAAATCCTGAGTTTTTCATTTCAAGACGTTCTGGAGCCTGAGAATGAGCTAAAATTAGAAGAAAAAAAAAAGACTGATACGATCTGACAGGATGAGAGAACTGCTGAGGTGAAGAACAGAACCAAACAGAACCAGGAGAAGAAAAACAAACTTAAAAAGTCTCATTAGAAATGATCTCTAATGTTTTCATTTATTTCTTAGATACGTTTGATCAAATGCCAGATTCGGCCCGTGGGCCTTCAGTTGTGACACACATGATGAAAGGTGTCTGCAGAACCAAACAGAGGAAACATCTGAGATATTTAATGTTTGGTGAGAAAAACATTTTGCTAAGAAACAGTTTGCTGTGTTCAAAAAGGCCACATCCAGTCCAAACTGTGAGGTGAGCAGGGCCGGCTCCAGACAGCAGGGGGCCCCGGGCAGCAGTCCAGTGGTGGTGCCTCACCCTGGGCWCTTTTCTAAAACTCAAGGCCAGTTTCCAGACATCCACACTAAATTAAATACTTTATTTTATATAAATATATCTATTTCTAACCAGGTTGTCCAATTAAAATAGTTACAAAATAGAAGTCTGCTGACATGATGAGGATCACCTGTTCATGCTAACAGCAGCTGTGGACTGAAGCAGTTCTAGGGGGGTCCAGGAAAGATCGACTCAAAACTCTACGTTTTCCTTTTGATGTGAAGAACATTTGAATAAATTCTTGGGAATAAAATAAGATAAAATCAGTATTTTATGAAGGTAGAAGACAGCATCACTAACTGCTAACCGCTAATAGTTAACCACTATTTGTTAAATGCTAACAGTTAATCACTAACTACTAACAGTGCTAACAGCTAACAGCTGATCACTAACTGCTAACAGTGCTAATTGCTAACAGCTGATCACTAACTGCTAACAGTGCTAACAGCTAACAGCTGATCACTAATTGCTAACAGTGCTAACAACTAACAGCTGATCACTAACTGTTAACAGTGCTAACTGCTAACAGTTGATCACTAACTGCTAACAGTGCTAACTGCTAACAGCTGATCACTAACTGCTAACAGTGCTAACTGCTAACAGCTGATCACTAACTGCTAACAGTGCTAACAGCTGATCACTAACAGTTAACTGCTAATAGTGCTAACAGCTAACAGCTGATCACTAACAACTAACTGCTAACAGTGCTAACAGCTAACAGCTAATCACTAACAGCTAACTGCTAACAGTGCTAACAGCTAATCACTAACAGCTAACTGCTAACAGTGCTAACTGCTAACAGTGCTAACAGCTAACAGAAAGGTCATGTGACACAACACGGCAGCTCGCTGGTCCTGCTGGATCAAACGGGTCAAAGACAGAAAACCGGACCCTGCTGAGTTAAAAACCACCCGGGGGTCTCGGGTCTGCTTTTGAACCCAGCAGTTGTGAGTGTGTGCTGGTTGGACCCTCACCTTGCAGCTGGGGGGTTTCAGGGGCAGTCCAGAGGCAGGATTTCCTTGATGCTGAGTCGTGTTGGTCTGCTGGGGGGAGTGGGAATCCTCGGACTCTTTTCCACTGTGGTAGACCACCCTGTCAGAGATATGGATACTTGAAGCACAGCCCATGCTTCAGTGCGTCAAGAGGTCCAGACAGTCTTCCTCACTGAGCTTCACAGAYACACAGAACCGTGCGGATCATCTGGGCCACAGCAGAACCGAACCGCCGCTCCAACACAAGGCATGAATAATAAATCTGTGCGGACCCCCCCTGCCCACCCGCCCCCACATCCAGGAAGCTGATTTCCTCCCTCCTGTTTTTCACATGAACTTAATTGGACCTTTAATCTCGGAGGCTGACGCGTCTCGCGCTGGAAAGCTCGGTTCCGTTATTCCCGGGCTGCTCATCACCGTTTTCTCATCTTCCTCAACTTCCCGCCGCCGTCAGCAGGCCCGCGCCGCTCCGCGCAGCTTCACGCACGACTTTACATCCATTTCTTTATTTCTTCTCCTGCGCGCGTCCGTGCGGGGCTTCTCACGTCGTCCTTCAGCTCGGAGCCATGAGCGGATCCGGAGCAGCGGCCTGTATCACAACGATCCGGTCCGGTTCGGCTGGGCTCGGTTCAGCAGAGCAGCGGGTCTGAGCGGACTCTTGGCTCGGGTCCTGCGCGCCTCCTCATCATCAACAGGCTGGAACGTCGCGGGGGGGTGGGGGGGTCTCTCGGCTCCGGTCACACCGCAGGCCACGCAGCCCGACGCAGCGCCCCATCCATCAGCCCGGACTCACGCATCCAGAACCGGGCTCCCGGGCTCCATTCCTGCTGCCCGGCTCAGGATGATCCAAACCTGGGAGCAGCTGCTCGGTGGCTTCGGTCCGGTCAGAACCCGCGGTCCGGTCAGAACCAGCGGTCCGGTCTCATTGTGCAGAAAAAAAAAGTGTTTGTTGTAAATGTGGAGGTTCCTCCTCTGCTTCAGACACGGAGAAAATTTATCTTTAAAAAATTAAATCATAATAATAAAAAAATAAAACATAAACAGCTCCGTGTCCACAAGTTTCAGAACCGAGATCCGGATTCTTCGGGTCTGGCGGGTCCGGAACCAGCAGAATGTGGCTTCATTCAGGCTGATTAACAGTTTGTCCTTCCAGCTCCTCAGCGCTGCCTGACAGCGGAACATCCAATAAAAGCTGCCGCAACCATTGACCTACAGCCTTTAATGACGTCAATGCAAATCAGGCGCGCGCAGCCAATCAGAGGCGCGCGCCGCGCAGCTGGGCGGTTCCCCTGCTTTCTGAGGGAACTTCAAAAGTTCGGACCCAGCAGGGCTCAGCTGGCTGCAGAACCTCTGCTTCAGAATCTGTTTAAAAATAATCTCAAAGATTTACTGAAGCTTAAAGGACGAAAATAAAGTCTTGTCTCAAATGACTAAAAAACAGGAAACAATAACAGTCAGGAAGAAAGAAACAAACAGAGCCTGGAGTAYGGGATGCATTTTGTGCCAGCAGGAATTGAATACATTGAAACTGAATTTAAAGTTTTGTATCTGAATTAATTTACTTTGAAACTGTATTTTGGTTTATTAAAACTTCAGTTTGACTACTTTCACTTTCAGTTCCATAATTCAGAT